CACAAAGAGATGGGCAGTTCTAAAATCATTTTTGCAACTTCAGTCAAAAGTGCCTAAATATTTGTCAGACACTAGGTGGGAGGCACATGCAAAAGCCACAGAAGCTATTTTGGAAAGTTACAGAGCTATCACTGATGCCCTCAGTCATTTGTACTATGATTTCAAATTTGATGACGAGGAACCCACTTTGAGACTAATAATGGCTGGAGACGGCTTGAATGGGTAATGTCAGGTGATGATGACAAAACCTCGTTGAAACATTGTACATTTGCTGTTATATTAAAGTTTTTCTTCATTACCCATTCAAGCCGTCTCCAGCCATTATTTGTACTATGATGTTAATGAGAAGGGTGATACCAGGCTTCAAGCTAACAATCTTTTGCAGAAAATGGAAGAACTGGAATTTGTGTTTATGCTGCATTTTTGGACCCGTGTGCTACGTCATTTTCACAAGGTCAGCAAAGCCATTCAGAAATCAGAACTGTTATTGAGTACTTGTGCATGTTTGTGCATGAGCTTGAGCAATAAGCAAAAGCCACCTTGCCAATGTAACTACAGAACTGTTACAAGAAGACAAGGAGTGAGGAAATGACCAGGAAATGAACCTGGTCCTGATGTCTTAGATGAACTCTCTTCAAGAGATAAGTTTAGGATAAAATCCTTTATTCCTATACTAGATGCACTTGATGCCAATTTAAGAAGAAGAGCTACTGTGTACAGTGATGTTGCACAAATGTTTTCCTTTCTTGCTAATCTGACAGCATCTAAGCAAGAAATTCAGCAAGGTGTTGAACTGTTGATGGAAGCGTACCAGAAGATGTTGACCTGAAACTTACTGATGAACTTTTGCACTTTCACTTGTATGTGAGACAGAGCCATAGGCCTACAGAAGAGCACTCTCTGTCTCATACAGACCTTTATCAACTTATATACAAGGAAAGAATTCAGATGGCCTTCCCTAATGTGGAAGCAATCATGTGGCTATTTCTTAGCTTAATGGTCACTAACTGCTTGGGAGAGAGGTCTTTTGCAAGACTCAAATGAATTAAGGGCCAAAATGTCTCAAGAGAGGTTGTCCGCACTGAGCATTGAAATTGACAAGCTTAGACAAACAAATTTTGATGAACTTTTGAATGATTTTGCTATGAGGAAGGCTAGAAAAAAACGTTTTTAGTCTTAGTATATTTGATGATTGTAGTTTCTTTGTTTCTTGATATGTATTTTAAAACTGACTGTTTAATGACAACATATAGTAGGATCTAAAAGTGTCACTGTCAGGTAGTCATGATCATCTTATTAACACTTCCTAGCCATTAAAATTTGTAAGCTCAAGGTTTTTTTAAAGAATATAACAGTAAACTTACAATTTCATTTTCCTAAAAATTCCTGCTTATTCCACAAAATGTTTACAAAGTTCGGTTATTGCAAAAGTTTTTCACAATGTTAATTTTAACATTTATGTATTTTTTTAATCACTACGGTATTTAACAATAACAGCTTATGTCCGTTAGAGGAGGAATTGTGAATTACGGAATTTTAAACACCCGTCATCATCCTCGGCTTCACTGAATTTTGTTTAAAACACTCTTCCATCTTCCTCTAGTCGAGAGGGTGGGGGATTGGGAGGGGCCTCACAAGTGGAATAGCCTAAGGCCTCTCTTTATCCAAATCTGGCCCTGGGTTCAGGTATTACCATTTGAAATTGAAACACAAAAATTGCAGTTATGAAAATCAGATATATAGGTTCCCATACTGGAATTATGTATGGTATTAGTAGAAATGTTGTCTTTACCAAATTAGAAAAACAGTGTAGCTAAAAAAACTGATGTTGGTAGAAATTTCTTGTTTTTTCAGGAAGTGCACAGATGAAAAATATTTCACAAGATGTATAATTAGAAGTTTCTAAAAACGCATGGAAACTAGGTTACTATGGTATATAAATGTAGCATGAACTCAACAGGATAGATCTTTTTCTTTTCTTCTTTTTTCAGGAACACCAAAAAATTAACATATATTCTTAAAATTATTTTAAAGGTTGTAACACTTTCTAAAATGTTTAAATAGCTGAAAAAGTAACAATTAAAACAGTGAACTGAAGAAAAGCTAAAAAGCACCATTTTCTGGTGCTCAATATCAGGAGAGGAAAGTAGAGAAAGAGAAAGATTTGTAAAACCAATGGAGTATTTTTCTAGAATTTTTAAAATGCAACACATTAAAAGAAAGTGTTTGTTCTACATAAAGTTTAATCTAAAATTATTACAATCCAATATTAGAACATCCTCAGTTAGTAGTGTAATGTAGTTATTAAAACATTATACAGATTATTTAATACAAAATATATAAACTCAACACTGCATTTTGGAATGCTTTTCCTGCTGTATTATATTAATACTTCTGTGCATAATTACAAAATTTTGACTTACCCCTTGGAAAGATATGATGAAAACCTGGGTCTTTATACTTATTGTATTTCCCAATTGCCCAAATTAAAAAAAGATCGCGACCCTTGCTGTATACTTTGTCTCCCTCATCACCTAACAAAAGCATGCATGAAAAGATCTCAGTAATAAGTATCAATATATATCAGAATGATCAAGTCACTTTAAAATACACAGTTCACCAAAAGATTATACTTTTGAAAACAACATTCATGTAGCTTAGTGTACTTATCACTAAAGATCATCAACATTCAAGTAATTTAATACATTTGCAACTAAATATTTATGTAGTTTTAATACATTTACGTAGTTAGCAGGACATGTTCTAACCCAGCATATGCAAATTTGTAAATGTTTCAATTTATTTCACTTCCAGCTAAAAACAGCATAAGTACTAAACCTAGTACAAAAATGCACATATTAACCTACACCTTGCTGTCTCCCACATCTAAAGCATATTTGCATAAAATTCTATATCAATGACCAAGCTGAGCTGAACAGAGCTGACATAGCTCCAAATTGTTTTTCTCAGATGGTCATGCATGAAATTCATTATTCAGTATAAGCAAATAATCCTGATGTTTCAACATGAATGTAGTCTACAAAATATATCAGGAGTTATACTAGTTATATATAAAACTCTGAATGTACTCTTATAGGTATATAATCAGTCATATGCCATAACTCAATGTGCATGGGCTCAAACCCCATATTGGAAAAGGAATATTGAATATAATTATGAATTTACTAAGTTTATCTATACAAAATGTGGCAAGCTTTTAGTATAATGTACAAGTTTGTTTTACACAAAAAATCAAATATGTTACAAAAGTATTTGTACACAAGATGTGTCTCTGAATTGATAAAGTCAGTATGACTCAGAGTTTCAGAAGTATAAGTGCAAGGTGATGTTCATGTGAAACATAAAAATATTTTTGTCTAACATATGGTTTGTGCATTTGAATAATCTCTAGAACCTCCAAAATGCTATCCTACAGTTTTTGTTCAGCATCTCTGTATATTATATCTAGTATTTTCTTTCCTCTACCACAAACTGTCACAATGTAGAATACAATGAACAGTTAATAACTCTGACATTAAAGACATAATATGATAGGGATAATCAATGCATCACCTTTTAAGCCTTCAGAATGAAAGATATGTTCAACTACAAACAATTTTCAGATAAAAGTTACAATCATTCTAGAGTAGATATAATACCTGTGTTAATGAGATTCCTACGATATGTGATAGTGGTGATTCCATCTTCTCTAACATGTGTGTGGATTTGGTAATTATCAACACCTCCAACTTCAGTGTCTGGACACACACCTTTTTTCAAACCAACCACATTGATGCACTAAAGAAAAGCAGTATAATATTGCTGTTTTAGCACCTTTGCTTAAATCAAGTTCATTTAACACCTAATATGAAATTATAAAATGTTTCTATCTTGTGATTACAGGGTATTTAAGAATGTCACAGCTCTTATTGGTACTCAAAAAATATAAACACTGCAAAGATCAAGCTAACCTAAATATGTATAATTTGTACATGTATTTTATTGTATAGAAGCAAATAGCACAGATTGCATCATAATGAATTTGCATTTGACCCACTGGAAACACTTTTCTGCAGAACTTTTAAACATTATAACTATCATGTTTTGACTGATGTTTTATTTACACTGTTAACCTGCAGAATTGAATAACCTTTCGGAGGACTTCAAGGACTTATAATCATGGCACATTTCTTTATTGTTGTAAGAGCCATACATTGATAATGACCTATCTAAATACCTCTTGTCATATCTCATTGATGTTAAACATGGTACGTAAATACTCACTTACTCTGAAGATTAGGATGGCAGCTATTGGCACTGCAGATTTGCCAAAGTGCAAGAAGATTAAAAACATGTTGCAAACTTTTCAACATTTTCAGACCATGATATTATACAAAATTCAGTAACTATCATGTGTGTCTAATAAATATACATATCCCTAGAAATTTCTGCATTTTGAAATGTATTCTAAATTTTGTACTTCAAAGAAAGTACTGGATTCACAAGCTCAAGAAGTAGTGAAATTTCCACCATGTTTGATAGTATCTTTCCTCTCCAACACTTTCACTATTTCCAAATACTTAGCATTAATAGTGTAAAACATATCAATTGAAATTGTGTTACAACTGGATTAAATATAACCACTATGATAAAACAATAAATGTGTATTAACTTTTGTAGGTAACTGAGAATATCTGTAGTTAATCTGAATTAAGATAAATTAGCTACATGGCCAAAACATTATTTTTTACTCTAGCACTAACACAGCAAGTTAATGTAAACTTAGATATTGTAGATTCTTTATAGAATGTTTGTGCTATACAGCCTTTAGTTATGCCCCAGAATACAGTCCATGTAAAGATAATGCTGACCTGAAGAAAGGCTAGCTCAGAGGCATCACTAGACACTGGCACACAGGGCCCATGCCCCTATTCAATTTGACAATACACCAAATCCCCAGTTGGTGTCTTCAAAATACAAAATCACAATTGATGTAATACTGAAACACTAAACATCTCACAGTTATGGGCTAGCCAAAGATTTTCTGTATCTTACTTTGAACTGTTAAGATTCAGAAGAACAGAATATTTTTCCTGGCCGCAAAAGTGAGGAATACTTCTTTAAGGTCTAATTTATTCAATTTAATAGATACTATTTATATATCTAAATTCATTATCTTACAGTGTCCATGTCTACAAACTTAGCTTCAAGGTCAGTAAGAGGTGACAAAGGATATTATTACGTCTCCGTTCATTCGTTAATTAATTTGCCATAAATTCGTTCCAACGAAACTTTAGCGACACAAGTCCTTTCTTAAATAAAACTAGTTTATTCTTTCCGAATACAACTTCACCGATACACTTAATTTCAACAGTCACTCTATAACAACGCTATAATTCTCAAAGAACGTTTCATGTGCTTGTGCTCGACAATACTCAGTTCAATTAAACACTCTCTGACTGCAGTTCAATTACTCACTCTCTCCCCATCACTTCGTGGCTGGTCTTATATATATTTATCTATAGAAGATTACTTACAGAATGCTTGGCAGTAATATTATAGTCTTTAGTGATACCCAAAGTTCCATCTATATAAGAAATTGCAGTGTCTCCTCCCAACATCTGTGATGAATTTTCTGACCCACTGATTCCTAAAGCCATGTATTCATCATCATCTACAAGAAACAGAAAAAAACCCCTCTAGTTTATTAAAACAAGGTAATGAAGATGTATTGTCATGACATTAACATAAATACATCATATATCAGGTAATATAATAATTTACATGTTATAACATATGACATATAAACAATAAAAATACAATATATTAAATCTAGTGTTCTATTTAATAGAGTTATTATTGTTAACCACCCTTTTCAATTATATCATATGTTTTAAATTTTATATATCAAATGTTAACATTTTCTTACTCTGAAAATGTATTTCTGATAGGTACTTGCCTTCTCTAACCCAAAGCTATCACAATCCCGGTCTTCCCTCTACACATTGCTGAAAACATTTTGCTACAGTGCATCAGTCTTTATACCCCATCAGTTTTGCACCATTTCAGAACATGTGCTGATCATGTGACTACTCTCCACATATTGTATTGCACCATCTATACTGGTACAACTAACTCCCTCTACTATTCTACAACAATCCTCACTTTTGAGAATTGACAGGCACAAACCATAAACACTGGCACCTCAGTGGAGAGGAAAGATGAAAAGAGGTAAATACCTATTGGAAATGCATTTTCAGAGTAATAAAATGTTAACTTCCGAAATGATACTACCTCCTCTCACCCAAAGCTAGAAGGTGGAGTGGCCGTTGAAAGTCCATCAATCTTAAATAAAGCAGAAAGCAACTTCAATGAAAGAACGGGCATTATAGAATATGAAAATAAAGCACACCAGTGGGGTATAGCACTACTTCTGGAACAGGTATGCTCTTTTCCCAGCAATCAATATGGTAACACAATTGTGGTGGAACTGAATTCACAGGCACAACTGAAGTCAATAAAGAGACAAACAGCACTGAATCAGTGTAGGAAATCATGGAACAGTTTGTGTGTCTACAATCACTTTCCCTTATATGTATGTGCCAAGGGAAGTGCCTTGGGATACATTGCATCATGCCAAATGGAGTCCAACTGGGCAAAAATATCCAGTGGAAGTACCTTGCATAAGAACTTGAGATCAACAAGTGTGGCCCATCCAGGCAAAAACATTAGGGGGAAGTGCCTTGGATACAGAGAATTATGAAAGATATAAATTACTGTTATGAGTGCAATTATGAGGGTCATCATCACTAGCCCTCTGTCTACATCCATGTCAAAACAAGCCATCGTAAGAAACAAAATGTAGTACCAAACATAGTGATAATGAGTCACAGTATGACACTAGTAAATGAGCAAGAGAGAAAATTGAAGTAACAATAAGTGGCTAGGGCTTAAGGACCATGAAATGTATATGAATACACCAACTGCAGTCTGTCCATGCAAAAAACATCCAGGAGAAGCACTTTGGGATACGTCATATTATGCCAAGTGCAGTCCATCTGGGCAAAAACATTCAGTGGAAGCACCTTGCATAAGAACTTGAGATCAACAAGTGTGGTCCACCCATGCAAAAAAATATCCAGGGGAAGCACCTTGGGTTATGTCAGGTTATACCAAGTGTGGTCCAGCCAGGCAAAAACATCCAGTGGAAGTGCCTTGCATAAGATATAGATATCAACAAGTGTGGTTCACCTGGGCAACATCAAGGAGGAATGTCCTGGATACACAGAATAAGGTCAAGAGAAGTGCACACAGGCAATCAAAAAAATCCAGGGAGAGTGCCTTGGCTTTTGTCAGATTATGCCAACTGTGGTCCATCAGAATAAAAAACATCCAGTGGAAGCACCTTGCATAAGAAATATATGATCAACAAGTATGGTCTGCCTGGGCAAAAACATTCAGGGTAAGCGTCTTCGATACCAAATATTATTGTATAATTCATTGTTCGGTACTGTAATAATTATAACAACTACAGCCCTCTTCTCGTCAAGTGGGTACACATGGGCTACAAAGTTTTATTTTGTTTTTCAAAACCTACTCGGGAGGAAACCTCCATAGTCAACCACTACAGCTACTTAGAACCAGAAGTGATAAGGACTCTCATGCTCCACTAGAAGAGAAGGAAGGGAATATGCATTGGAGAGTCCAGAGGAATGACACACTGGAGAGAGTGCAATGGGTATCTGCGATTCCTGATTTTGAAAAGCAGAGACTCCAATTGTAGGAATCACAGGTCAATACAGATGAGAATATATCCCAATCTGCCTTAATCATGAGGTCAATGAGTGGCAGTCTTTATATAAATGAAACTAGTAATTTTTAGTAAAAAGAAAAGAAAAAAAGATATACATACCACCAGACAAGCTACTAGTAGTCTTACAGAAACACCCCATCTCGATAGTGAGCATTATAGAATTATTTATATCTAGTACAAATATAATATGAACTATACCTGGCCAGGCAACACCCGCCACCAGGTAGGATACTGAAATATGTTATTTATGAACTAAAAATATATAGGAAAAATAATATGTTGACTTACCCCAGTCAAAGGCGAAGAGACATGTAGAGGAAGATTATACCAGCCTGAGGAAGAAACAGCCAGGTTGTGCAGCTAATGTGTGACAACTCTATTGGGAGTTGTCCACATCCCAGTCTGAACAAACTCCTCTAAAGGCCAGTGAGGGCAAGCAGCTAAGAAGTAGTTATCGAATAAGAAATAGTTAGATGACAAATTGGGTCCAAAGAAATATTGTGCAGATGGGGACCTTCCATGGACAAACCAGAATACTCCAGTCATATGAATTGATGAACCCAATCAGTGAATGCAATAGGAGACACATCATGGAACACAGAGGGAATCCTTGGAACAAATTGAAGTGAATGATAACATGAAAGGATGCAGTATGAGCCTCATAACATCTCAGGAAATGAGCTGGACAAAGATGTCTATCCAGAACCAAACAGAAGTACAGGTGGGAAATGGAAGGTAAAGAAATAGGAGAGAAGGCTAAATCAGGATAGAATATAATATAAGAGGAATGGTAAAGGATGTGGGACACATCAATGGCAGAAATATCAGAATGAAATGTCAGGAAGATTTAAAGGTTAGGTGGTACAAGGAACACATAGCTATGGGTTCAAATGAAGAAGTGGACAGGACATGAAGGACAAAATTGAGATCCAATATGGCAAAATAAAGGAATGTGGAGGATGGACAAGATGAAAGGAATGAAAAAGGAGGGAAATAACAGAGGAGGAGAAAGCTTTCTAGAAATGGAAGAATCAGAAGGTGTTCGACAGGGCAGCCCTATAAACAGAAACAGTTAACACGAACTAATCCTGATCAAACAAAGAATTTGGAAAGATAAGGTACCAAAGGATGGGAGGGGTGGAAGTCACAGCAAATGGACCAAGGTCTGAAGGCAGACCACTGCCTTTGGTACACAGACAAGGAGAAAGGATGAATGGAATGGGACAGGAAAGACACTACACGAGAGGTGAGTCCCTGAGCTGAGGCAAGGGACTGGACAAAAGCCACGCATGAAAATGGAGTTTGGTGATTTCAGAATGAACCCTGCCCAATCACAGTTGTCAGAGGAGAGACTGGGACAGAGGTAAGGGCAGGGTATATCACTCCTGTAAGGGTCAGAGCAGATGGAACCATACCTGTGCAGGCCAATGTGGAGCAATAAACAGGACACAAGAAGGAGTGGTCTGGATAAGGGAAAAGACAATGGAGAGTAGTCTGATCGGGAGGTAGGCATACAAGTAAAGACTCCTTCAATCCTTACTGAACACGTCTACTCCCAGAGCTGAAGGGTGTTGAACCAGATACCAAAAGGAATAGCCTGGCAGTGGTTAGTGTGCTTGACTTGCAATCTGAGGGTCATGGGTTCGAGTCCCCATCCCAACAAACATGCTCGTCCTTTCAGCTGTTGGGGCATTATAATGTGACATTCAATCCCACTATTGGTTGGTAAAAGAGGAGCCAAGAGTTGGCAGTGGGTGGTGATGACTAGTTTCCTTCCCTATAGTCTTTCACTGCTGGGAACATGACACACCAAGATTGCAATGTAGTGATCGTGGGCCCAGTAATGAAGATCCTGAGTCTGAAAACACAGAGATTTGGATTTGGTTCCCCCTTGCTTGGTGATACAGCTGACAAAGTGGACCAATGACCAGAAACCTCTTTGGAATTGAGGAAACCCACCAAGGAAGCATCAGTAAATAGATGAAACTCTGGACAAGGTTGAGAAATGGGAGCCACCACTGTAGTAAGTTACCTGTTAAAATACCAAGCAAGGTCAGCCCTGATCCAAGGGAGCAGGGTAATGGGATGGTCTGAGGGATCATGGAAGAAGTTCCATTGGTTTAGAAGCATACACTGCAGGGAATGCATGTGGGCTCAACTTAAGAGAATGAGAGCTTCCAGGGTATCCCATATCACCAAAAGAGAGAGAACCCCTCACCTAGTGAGAAAAGGAGAAGGTAGGGCCATTGAGACTGCCTGCTCCTTATCCCTGAGCTGAAGTGGAGAAGGCTGGGCCTGACAAAGATGGGAATTGAAGAAAAACCCGCAGTGGAATAAAATATTGAGTGGGGTTAAGAATGGACTTCTCCAACTGGAGCAGAAAAACCCACCTGATTAGGTTCCCGATGAAGTAAGCAGGCATGATTTACCAACAGGACACTAGAAGAGGCAAGCAAAAGCCAGTCATCCATTAAAGGAGAATCCGAAGACTCAATGAGTAAAAATGGGCAAAAGAGTGTTCCTCTCAAGAAAACACATAGTGTCAAAGAAAGGCTAAACAACAGTGCCAAGAATTAGAAGATTCGACCCTCATGGATAAACTGAAGAAAACGATGTGACACTGGAGCAGTTGGAATATGAAGATAGGCACCAATCACAACGATTTGGTCATCCACAGTCCAGGTGAAAAACCACAAAGTGAGAGGTCAGATACGTTGTTTAGTGTTTTATGGAGCAAAGCAACTAGGTTATCTGCACCAAACAACCTGTAAAAACAGTAAACGTAAACTTACTAAAATGTAAAAATAAAGTGAGTTAAAACCAAAATATGT